GCATTTTGTGTTAAAGAACTTTCATAAACACTTTTTCTGGATTTATGTAGCGTCACATTATAAAAGTAGACCTCAACGCTTCAGAGAGGATATTGAATGAAGCTAGTTAAAGGTGAATTCCAACTCTATGGAAGTGATGAGTATAAAATTGAAAATGTAAATCTTTCAGTAGGCATTATGCACCCTTTAAGGATCTTTTGACCCCTTTTAGTGTTTAGTGGGCCAAAAAATTTATTAATTTATTTCAAATGGCAGGCGTTTTGATAGTTATCTTTAGCCCTTTAGCTGACTTCGGGCTTCACAGAGAGGAGGGGGAACATCAAAGTGACAAAAGTCGAGAGGGGGGGGGGCAGAAGAGTGTTTCAAAGATGTAAAATAGACAGACACAAAGGTAGAAAAAAGGCGAGGTGAGTACTGTGAAGTAGCCGAATATGACATGCAGTGGGGTGATAGTTTGAAGTGAGGTTAATAGACTTTTTTGACGTATGAGTAAACGTTACCCAGGGTGCATCGCGTGGTGGTAAGTCTACCGCACACTCCATTTGCCAAAACATCGTACTGGTTTTATGGTAAATTAGTAGCAGACAACAAAAATAGTGTTAAAACAGGACTTTACCGAACTGGAACTTCATAATTTTGCACAGCTCAAGGATGCACAGGATTCAGATAAAATATTTTTTAAAGGAAATTTCCCCTAAGTATTACACGGATTGATATCTCGTAATGATAATTGGCTTGCCAATCAAATGACTTCCCAAACCACCTCAGATCTAAAATTGCATTTATTCGCTTGAAGCAGCAAGGTGAGAATGACTCTTTAATATTTCAGTTCTTTCTATTTCATTGGCTACACGTTTCTATTTTCAGCCAATCTTCTCTCCGGCAGAAGTAAAGCGGAATGGGATAGGTGGTGGCCGAATCTCATTAAGTCCACTCGAAAGGTTTAAATGATCAGCAATCTTAATGTAAAAAAATGAGCCGAGTTTTCTATATTCGTGGGAAAATTTATGAATTTCAGCTTAATGACTTTGTAAAATTGTAAGTACGCGCAACCAGGAGGAGTGTTTCCACCTACAGGTGAGGTTTCATGATTGAATCGTTTTTTTTTCATATAAAATAGGATACATGGTCACCTGGCTTGTTAGTCAATAATGGTGACCTTAATTACTCCAATGACAGCTAATTCAGTTCACATGGTATGAATGTTATGATTTCGCTCGAGCTTATCGAAAACAGCCGAGGCAAGATCACAAGCGTGGTGGAAGATATTTGAAAATTATGCCAAATATAACTTTAAAACCACGAAATATTTGATCGAGTAGACTGGCTTGCTCTGTATTTGTCGAAATTTAGTCCTCCCAGTAAATCGTCCCTTTGTTAGAAAGGAAATACTTCAACATTGGTGAGAAAAGACAGGGGTTTTGAGTGATGGTAAGGCTGGAACCATTGGAAACATGCCCCACCAATTGAATCGAATCCAGTAAAGCATTTTTATAAGTTGGATGCTTGAAATTTCAGTAGAATATTTTGTATTAGATACTCATAGATCTTATTCGTAGTGCCAAGAAGGGCTTACATTTCAACTAGATTTAAAATTCTGTTTTTTATTTATACCGTCTTACAACGCCAAATGCAGTATTTTGAAGCACTTCCTTATTTAGAATTTCAGTAACGGAAGAAAAAAATGAGCCTGGAATCTTACTGTTTTAGCGCTTAAATGAATATTAGCTCAAACATTTCACGGCTCAAATAAACAGTGCATTGGATTTTGAGTGGATCAATACTTTTAGACCCAAATCTGTGGTTTCGCAGAAATGCGCGTCTACAGTGATTTGCCACAATAATCTGCCTTGGTTTAAGGTCAGCAATCTCTGCTGCAAGTTCTCCTAGTTTGGAATGGCTCCCAGGAAATAGTGGCATGACGTGGAACACATTTATTTAGGCTGCGTTAAATAATTTAAGAGCCATTGATTGGTAGCTGGTTGAGGGGTTTCTGAGCTCACGACTGCACTTGCTCCCAACATGACAAGCAGCACGTCCGCACCATCGAGTCTGTCTAAGTACGCTTGAGATTTCCTTATTCCTGCACGACAACTTTGTGCACTCCACATGTCCACGGGGCGTGTTGGTCTTGATTAAATTGCCTCTAAGATCCTGTTTAGACTTAAATTAATTTAGAAATCATTTCAATTTGGGAGCTGCTACTTGAATAATAGCCCGCCTTTTATAAACATTTTGCGATATATCTACCGGGTATTTACAAGTTTAAATATACCATTCACTTCTACAATGTTTCGTTAATCGATTCAGTAGTCTTTTGAGGCAAAAGTCTTACAAATGGCGGTTGTGGGCTACTTAAATCCAGTAAGAAAGGTTCACATCATGCAATAACTATATACAGAGGGATAAATGGACACTGTTCTTGTTCAAGAAAGGTGTTATATGCTGTTATAAAATCTATTTAATAGAAACTTTAATTTAAATTAGTATATAATACGTGGCCTAGGTAGAGAGATTTGCAGCCACCATCAGTATTAGACCAAAGAGAAAAAACACGGTTGGAAGATTTCGAATCTGGAATACAAAGATTTCCATGGAGGTCTGGCGCGATTGCGGACTGATTGCTTTATACGTTCTATTTTCCTGGAGATCTTTGAAGCAATTACTTTGGATAGAATTTTAGCTTAGACCCGCGAGTGGGGAACCACATCTACTTCATCCTTACATTCTATTTTCTTTATTTCAATAGTGCTAATTTAAACAATTGGTTCTAGATGCTTGCACAGGTTTTCATCTGCTCCTTCTCCATATCTACAGTGTTAAGTTGACGAGTGAGATTTGAAGGCCAAATCGGAAAAGGCTTGTAAACCTGGGGCTTTGCATGTCATGGATACTACACAGGTAAATATATTATATGAATTTTGCATCGAAAATGATTAGCTAATTATGCAAGGGACTGAACTGTTCCGAGCGCAAACGGAGTCAATTTAGAATGTTTATTAAATAAGTGAAAGGCTGGAATACCCATGTTTTGTTTATCATGACAGGGTCAATGATGCAACCTAAACTTCCAATGAAAACCACTAAACACATGCGACAGATTTCATGCACAAATTTGGGCAGTTGTGGGATTATTAAATTGGCATTTAATAGAACCTGTCCATTGTATTTACACACAAATAAACCTAGTCTAAACCTTAACAATCCACTCTGACACAAGTTTCCTGTAAGAAATCATTCCCAAAATAGAGAGTAAGCAGAATGCATAACGTGAGAGGCGCCTCTGGTTTAAGTAGAAAAACCACTAACATGCTAGTCATTACATTTTATACCACATTGCATAAACTCGATTGATGATTGGCTGAGAGGTTTCTGTAGCACTCGAGATCCCTTCGATTAGCCCTGCATGTTGCGTTTTCCTTAATACCATGAGGACCTACTTTAATTAGATAGTAACAGATTATCACCAACAAAAGGCCGCAAATTTTTCATGGGAAAAAATACACAGGCAAGCGAAAATGACATTAACGAAAACTCTTGCTTAAGAAGAAAAAAAGGATAATGTTTTCTGTATCTGCAAAACGGCTTATTAAAATTAGGATTAATAGCCCCTTTTAAAGCCTCGTTACTTTAAAGCAACAGCAATTTGGAGCTATGTTAAGAACTTTCGCAATAAGTAATAAAAGGCAACTATAAAAGAACTGGGTAAATTGGTTGTGGGCACAGCACAGGAGGTGAAGTGAGGAGTAGGGTACAAGACTCCATGTACTACAGAGATAATGCATCCTAACTGGCTGAGACTTAGTGCCAACTACGGTTGTCCAGACTGACAAACGAGGCACAATTAAGGATAGGGAAATATTCAATTTACTGTTTCACGTTTATGGGGTCAGACACAGAGCTTGGACAGCACAGAGCCAAACTCGTTCTAGTGACGAACAGTAAAAAGGGGATTTGTGTGAATCCTGTTCACCACGAAGATACCTGCATTCAGACCGACGACAGAAGTCAATACAGCCGGAGGTAGATTGTGCCAATCTTGAAGAGGTAGCTGAAGCCATAGTGATGGCGCACACTAGTTAAATAGACAAGCGCATTTGTGCTTTCCTCTTTCTAATCTAATAATATGGCTAATACTCCAACTTCAATTGAATAGTTGATTGCTTATTTATAGAATTAAATAATAAGTGCTATTTAGAAATATACACATGTTAATCTCATCCTGGCTGTAACAAGGCAACTATATAAATTGAGGTGACACAATCAACCACGGAATTACATCAATCAGCGAGTCCTGAATAACACGGAAGCATTCTCACATGGGCTGTTAGGACCGTGAAAAATGTCATGAAAAACTTGATATTCTGACTGTGATACATACTTTCTACTGTATTAAATGATAACACTGACAATCAATAACAACAATATCATGTTCTGAAACCTCAATAGGAGAAAGTCATTAATAAGTCACAATTACCTTCTGTCACACATCAACTAGAGACAAAACTCAACAATCCTCTCCCAACCGCAATGGGAACCAAGAAAATAGAAGAAAATGCCACATTTACCTCGAATTAAAATTTGTCAAATTCTCATGAAAAACATGTTGCTTCCTTTAAGATATGCAAACGTACTGATGAATGGAAAGGAAAGGAGAATTACAGGTAGAATGGACGAAAAGGAAAAGATAAGAAATGGAAGTTGTTTTTTAATCACGCATGTGATGTGATAAGTGGGAAATACACATATTTACGTTCACATGTGAAAAAAAAACTTAGAGGAAGAAGATCACACCTAACACGGCGAAAGTATGTTGCAACGGCTAGGATATTGATATGATATAAATATTGAGGCCAGGGAATCGAGGGCAGCATGAGGCATGAAGAGGATCGAGGGTAGAGAGCCATTGAGATATCTGTGAACTCACTTCAACACACACACAGGGAGAAAGATGTTTGGGATAAGGAGGGGGAATTAGGAAGGAACCTGGATTTACTACTTTAGATGCTTGTTGGGTGATAGAGAGCCTTGATGGCGGAGGCAAATTCTTGTCGTATAATGGTACGAGCTGACTTCAGTGTAGGGGTTAGCATTCCATTTTCGATTGTGAAGGGTATAGAGGAAAGACGAATGGCCTTGACCTATTGATAATTGAGAAAAACAATAATAAGGACAAATATAAAATAAAATATAATCCCTTAATGGGAGTTAAGAGCTCTTTTAGATCGATGCATTTCAAAATATATAAAATTATCACCATCACCTACGGTAATAGTAATTAACTAGCGCTTTAACAATGACCCTAGCAACTGATAGGTGATAAATAACATCAACACTTCATATGACTATTAATAGAAGGGGAATAGACACAAAAGGCTAACCAAGGAGAAACAAATGATGCATGTTGTATACATATGAATAAATCAATTCACAAGAATCTCGTCTATAGGAAGTAGAACCCAAAACCCCATTGAACCACTACCCCTTTTTAGCGTAATTTAACTCAGATTCACAAATTAGTCCGTCACCTTAGACTTCGCAGATCATCATGTCAAAGATTTTGATATGGTGTACCCGAAAATTTAGCGCGAGAGCAATTTCAGGGTAAACGGTAGCATAGATTAACATGCTCTAATCTTTTATATTAGTGTACGTTTATTACTTAAACCAAACGAAATGTGATGCGAAATTCTATATTCAAAGTTTTGGGGACCATCACCGAAATTCTCAAGTTGATAGATGCTAATAATAGCGAAGAGAGGTTGAACACCGCTTTAGTATACCATTTAGATCCCAAACCCTATAAATGGTATTTAATGTACCTGCTCAAAGCCTTTGAGTCCTCGAGCTTTGCCAAGAGCGTATAGATCATCAAGAACAGTCTTAATCGCTGGTTTATAGTCACACAGCTGTTCCAAAGTCATCTGGCTGCCATGCACAACATAGGTTTCGTCAGGAGTAACAGCCTGAACAGCCGATTTCTTATCTTCTGTCGCAGTCACAGATTCATCCTTCGATTGTTCACCCGGTGCTTTGACAGAAGTCACACTGTCACCAGCAGGTGCTTCCTTTTGTTGAGGTTGGTGATTTTTGCTGATTCCATTGCTAGTAGGGGTCGTGGTGTCAGGTTTAGAGGAGTTAACATACTGGGCAAGAGTTTGAGCCTCTGGTACAACAATGGCAACAGGATAGGACTGCTCTGTGTCACCGTCAACAAAGACTTGATTTACGAATCGGCTTTCCAAGTAGACGGATTCAATCTTTTCCGGAGCCACATACTCGCCCTGAGATAGCTTGAAGATATGTTTGCAGCGGTCGACAATCTTGAGACTATTTTTCTAATGGAGAATAAAATAGAGGTAATAGAGACAGCAAAGAAGTTCGATGAATAAATAATGAACTGAAAGAAACTAGTTTATTGCATAAAGGCGCTTGAGAAATAGTTACCCAGCAGATTGAGCATCTAATAATAGCACTGTTGCTGGGTCTAGTGAACAACTTTTCATCATTAGGAGCAAAGACATTATCCAGAGAACAGAAACTAGGAGGAATTTTAATGCAGGAAATACCACCAAATAATCCACAAACAAAATCACTTCACGTAGTTGTACGCCTTACACTAAAGGGAACATACAAGTTTGGAGTGCGTTAGGCCTGACAGTAAAGGACATTTCTGACCAAAGTAGACACAATCATTTCTTGTCCGCCACAGACGCGGTCATATCAGTAAATAAATCAAATGCTGTCTGAAAGGTAGTGATTCATGGTCGCAAAGCACATACGACTGATTCAGAAAACAAAGAACACTGATGAGATAAAACTAAATGGGAATATATTGAAACAAACATTAAATTATTTTTTTGATTTAAGTCACTCGGAGGAGGAGGAGAAACCATAGATACCCATGATCATAAAAATACAATGTGATTATGTAAGAAAATATTAAAACCACCCACCAAACAAATGATGGATCATCTTTCATAAATATACTTTACACTTTAGAGCAGTCTTATACAGAACCCGAACAGGTACATCATTTCACCCCCCCCCCCCGCACAAACTAACGTAATCTCGTCCTTTGGCCACCTAATTTAGTAGATTTAGAGAGCAAGGCCAAGCGTTTAAATTTGTAACAGAACACCGAGGATAGGTAAATTGGAAAATGTTAGTCAATTAGAGCTTAAAATCCTTTAACTGAATGCATGAGTAATCCAAATTAATTGTTGGATAATTTCAATCAGGAAATTAAAAAGCCTCCAACTTCCACAGCACATGCATGCGAAGTCTGAAAAAGACTTGAATCATTTAACTATTTAAACCTTAATCATCCATAAGGACATCCTGACCAACGCTAAAGTGTATGTTCTAATGAAGTATTTATGGCAGTTTAATTGTACACAGACCAAAAGACTTATAGTTAGCGAGGTAAAAAGCAGAAAGCAATTCTGCAATAGATATTTGTGCACACAAAAGAGATGATCAGACATTGATATACCCAGACAAACTGCTCAGACACTGTCTGAACTTTTGCTTGATTTAGAGAAAATAAAGCAGTCAGGCATTGTGAGCACTTAGATATTAAAATCAACGAAATGCAGCATTAAAAATACACGGATAGTAAAAGTCTTCTTGAGGACAATTGGCTCTGATTCTGATTCAGTTCAACACCACAAATATTATATAAGTGAATAGATGATTAGAGTGAACAAGGGTGTTTTAAGACTGCTGAAAAATTCAGAACTAAACGTTTACAAAACGCGGTATAACACATACTTTGTGAAAGGGGAACGCAAAGAAGACAAGTCTAGACGCGGACATTGTAAAAAATATACACGGAAAGCGAGTTAGTAAAATAGTACACACGCCTCCCCCCATATTCAATCATCAAGTGATTTCGTGACCACAAAAAACTAGCAGATAAATAGCGACATTATGAGTAAAGACAGGAGAGAATAAGGGGATTATAGACATTCCACCCTTACTACTGCAAAATCAAGAAATGGGAAATGAGAAAGGGGATGCTTACATCAGTCCAAACAGCAACATCACCGGTACGCATCCACCCCTCGGAATCGAAGAGCTCTGCTGTGTTCTCAGGATCCTTGTAATAACCCGTTGTACAGCTTGGGCCTTTAACGCGAATCTAAAATAATTAAGAGGGGATAAAAATAGCTAGCTATAATAATTCAAGAAACTACACATTTAAACCATGGAAAGCATATAAATGCAAATGGTAAAATTTAATCAAAGATGTGAGGATGCAGAGAAAATACCAAAGAAAGTGAAACTACTCTAGTTCCATTCATCAGTTTTGACACTTGACAACCCTTACAATTGAAGCAAGAAATATCTCCTTTGCATCTTTGAAGCACTCTTCTGTCCCCCCCCCCCCACACCCTCTCGACTTTTTTTCACTTTGATGTTTCTCCCCCCTCTGTGGAACCTGAAGTCAACTACAGGGCTAATGATAACTATCGAAACGCTTGCCATTTAATATAAATAAATTATTTGATCGATTAGTTGACTACTATCTACCAGTGTTTCCATTGGCGCAAATTTTCAAAAAGTCGATGACTTCCAGAGTCTACATAAAAAAATCTAACTTTTCATTACGAGCAGTGTTCAAGGCCTCGAGACAGTGATTCAACACATGCACTTCTTATCGAGCAAATGCCACTTAAGACAATAAGCTAAACGTGTTTGAACACATTTTTAAGTAAAATTAGGTGAGACAGACAATACAAACTTCTGATCTAAGAAACCTTAAATGATCAATAATAACCTGAAAGATCTCACATGACCGCCCGTCTAGCCACAATCCCTCCCCCGGCAAAAAATTCACTCTGGCTCCATATTTTATGCGTACTAATTTAAACAAAGATAAGTGAAGCAACTTCAATTAATAATTAACCGTTTGCATCTAAAGATAATGATCGACTATTGAAATAAAAATAAATTTTATTTGCTCTGTTATTCTGGCAACCATACAAAGGTAGTGCTGACTTATGAATTGTTTGCAAAAATACAAAAATAGAGCTCTGATTTTGCTAGTTTCATCTACCGGTCAACAAATTTTGGATATCGAGAACACTAGCCACGGAAGCAAACAAAAGAGGAGAGTAAAAGGAAAATCACATAATTAAATTCTATACGCATCAATAATATTATACGCCGACTTTTTCTGGCAATTATGCAAGCACTCATACTTAATTTCGAGTTTAGTTGACCATGTAGGGCATTGAAAGCTAACATATGTCTACATTGGGTGTCAAGAGTATGCAAAGAATTTTTGCAAATTGTCCCTTTACAATAATCTAAGCCCAAATTAGGAAATGAGTACTTCCATTTCGATCACAGTAACCAGAAGGGATTTCTTTCACATAATCTTTGTGTTTTCAACTCAGTAGCACTAATACCTAATTAAGGCCTTAAAATACACCTTTCAAATAGAAGCTGAAAGCTAATTGTAATTAATGAATTGCTGTTTTCGTGTTACCAGTGATTATCGATAGGGAATAGGAACACGGGGAGAAATTGGCCATAAATGAAGTTAAAAAGAGGAGTTGAGCTAATTTGGAAATGAGGTCAGGTAGAGGAACATGTCCTTCAAGAGTAGTAAATCTGAAAGCAATTTCTCTGATCTAAATGAAGTCAAGCATAAAAATAAAAAATAGGTTTAAGACTAAAAGCTAAAATATACACCTTATTTCACTACACCTATGGAACAAAATCCTAAAACCTCAAAATATCGAGAAGTCTAAATGGATCTCACGATCATCATCGAAACCAGGGACAGCGAACAGTCAAATAATGAAATAAAATGGAAATTCACCTCGCCCTTATTGTCTCGTGCAGCAACAATGTTCATTGAGGGGATATCGGCCAATTTGACCCTGAGACCGGGCACAGGTGCCCCCACGTGACCACCATCACAATCACTTGCAGCTGCTGATGAGAGGGAGCCTGCAGTTTCTGTTGAACCGTAACCCTCAAATACCTGGAAAAAAGAAATACGTAATTGACAATATATGATATGGAAAATCGATTAGAATTCACATTTATTCACCCACTCTTATCCTGGGGGGGGGGGGGTTAGAGTGGGATTGTGGCGACATAGATTAATATCATATAACATTATAACAGAATAGAAAGTAAAAAGGCTTCCGTCTAGAGTATAGTTTGCAAAAATAAAATCCCCCAACGTCAAGTCTATTAAGAATAGTCAAAGTAAATAACTGGTTCACTTAATTTCAATAAACGATTCAACAGTATCTAGGGGTGGGAAAAACAATGAGGGCCAACAAAACCCATTAAGAAGTCCCTGAATACACGCAATTCTGTATAGAATAATGAATTAGCATTCCTGCTCCTACTCCAGCTTTAAGCTGGGTTCACCAGGCAAGCGAAATTTATACCCAGGCCACAATAATAGAGCTACACCATTTAATTTACTTCTACGTGGGGTAAACATAAATTTCAGTTAAGGAAACAGTGTCAATCAAAACTCATTGCATAAGTATCCCTATTTAATAGTTACTTCTAATGAAACTATTTATTTAAAATTATCATTCAAACACTGACAATAACGAAGCTAAAAACCATTCAAGACTCCAAGCAACTGGGAAAGGAAATTGTAATTAGGTTTTCACTACAAAAGACTTAAACCTATGCTATAATAACTTTTTCGATTAAAGGTGGCTTGTTACAACTGTAATCCCCCCCCCCCCCCAACAAATATCTAGAGAAAAAATAGAGAAAGAGATGCAGCAATTATTCGCCTTTTAATTCTTGTTTCCTCCAACAGATGCGATTAATTTTTTAACTATATGGCTTTAATAGCTAACATTCGCAAAGCATACTGTGTACACTTTGGCAGATTTGAGCATGGACATAACCCAGTTTGGCGACAAGCCAACTAAACTTAAAGATAGGCTGACCAATCGCGCCTTTGCAGGTACGAAACACACGAACTACACAGTTTTACCACTGAATTTAATAAATATTAATAAGAGTAGTGTGCTAGTTTCAACTAATTTAGTGGGAATATTAACTAAACGGGAGCATATATTATGACCTCAAAAGCACAAGTCATTATAAGACTAGCAGTAGATGAGCAAGGACGCCCTCATAAACACAAGAGTTTTTCTAGCTAACTAGTAAAAATTGTACACTCTAATCTCTAGATTATTACAAAGGAAAGTAAATAATAACTGCGATACAAAATTTAATTCGTTCCGAATGGAGCAAAACATGACTTGTATTTTGTGCGTCCTCATGGAAGAAAACAATACATTATGGGTACTAATAAGGAAATTAGCATTTTAAAAACAGATGTTTGCGTTGAGTTTGTGTCCAGATGCGGTGAAACAAACAATTCTGAGTGCCTTTTTTGGTTGGCCCCATTTATAAGCAATGCATGTAATTTTATTGTCAAGCAGCCAGGACAAAGAATTTATCCTTTTACACCAGATTGCCACTGGCGACGATAATTGGAGTGTTTATGACAACGCTAGTGTAAAAACTATTTTTCCTAAATCAAATACTCCTTCCATTCTATTTCTTAAACCAAGCCAGGACTGATCACAAGGAGACTTCTTTTATCATTTGGTATATGGAATCATCCAGGTGAAACAGCTAAAGTCGAAGTTAAGCGTCAACAATTGGTAATATTAAACCAGAAATTAAAATGGTAAACTTCTAGGTCTATGTAATAGAAAAATGGATAATTCTTCAATATGACGATGTAGCGTGAGCGAACACTTTTAACATACCTGGAAAACCACCACAAACTTAAATCAGGTTTTTGGTTGCTGAAATAAAGACGCTTAATTAATGCTAAATAGCGAAAATAGGGTTGATAGGGTTGCAACTAGCGAAGGTTAACGTTTCAAAACAAATCGGAGAACATATGTTGGTACATAGAAAAATGATAGGTGTTTCATACTGGTAAGGCAAATAGCGAAATTCGGCTTTCTCATTAAAGAACAATGAGCACTGAAAAGGCTTTAATAATAAGCGGGCTTTAAATTATTAACAAAGTATCTACCATTTATTAACAAGATACACGCTGATCAATGCACTCCTCTAAGTAATTCCCTAACATAAGAAGTATTGTCTAATACCGCTTCACTTGAGAGAAGAAAAGTTAATTTGCATCAGTAGCGGTAGCGTTGGTTGTCTGACTCATTAGATGCACGCAACGAACACCCTTGCTCATCGGTTTATGACCTACAGACAGATATGGCTATATGCCAAGTTCTCAAAAGCGGCGAAATGGCTAAGACGACCCCACTACTCCTCCCTAAAATAAGCGTGCTTCATAAAACGCCTTCCAGCCTAATGCACACATGTTTGAATATAGTGACACGTAAGACCATCTTTGACGCGCCAATTTAAACAGGGAAAAAAGATGAGCACAGAGGAACGTAGAATTACATTTCACATAAGTCAGAACAGGGGAGGATTTAAAAAAACTAAATTATAAAATCTCATACCCAACAGGAGAAGGCAGCTCGAGTGAATCGAAGAACGTGGGTAGGTAGGGGTGCACCACCACAGACAATAACTCTAACATTTCCTCCCATTAGAGCCCGAACTTTGGAGAAGAAGAGGATATCCCAAATCGTGTTGGTAGAGAAGTTGTGCCTATAAGAACAAAAAATAAAGTTTAATTGAAGTGCTTTGTGTAGGTGAAGTGAAGTGATTTGTACTTAGCGTGCACCCAGAGAGAAAGGCATCAATTGCTATTTGAAATATTGTTTTTACTGATAATTGCATTTATTTCGTAGGAACTTACTGCAAAAGGGCACTTTAAATCTAGGTTAAATCTAGTCAACTACTTCATTCAATTCGCATCATATTAAGAAAGGGCATATTAAAATCCAAAAGTGAGAAGAACCAAAAAAAGAAATAAAGCAACTTACGCATCAACACTTTTGATTTTGGCGCCAAGAGCCCTATTGAAAAGAGACTTCTTGAACGAAGAATTGCCAATTTTCTTCTGAACGCCCTCATAAATCCGCAATAAGATTCGAGGAACAGTAGTCCATAGGGTGGGTTTCAACATTTTCGCATCTTCAAAGAGAAGGCGGGGCTCGCCAGAATAAAAGCCAATTCTACCCCGAGAGAATATTGTAAGAAGCTTAAAAAATAAATTGCTACAATTAACTGATTCATTAAGGTGATGAAAAAAGCGAAGAGGAGAGAACTCACAACAAACATCTGTTCCAAAATATGTGCCATGGGAAGGTAAGATAAGTAGGCACCCTCTGATGTAATAATCTGAAAAATTAAAAACACACATTGTCTGAGGGCAAAAAATCCAAGGCGAACATGGTCAAAGGAATAAGAAATCTAGCAATATCTAAATAGGATAGAGAAATCCTATATGAATTAATAAGAATACCAATTAATTTGTGAGCCGCTTGGACAATCACACATAAGCCACTGTGGGCCCGACAGTGAACATTCAATTTACTCCATTGTTAATTGCCGAAACGAATATTTTTGTTGTATTCGAGTGAAATTCATAAGTTTCATCTCTTGGTCATAAGATTACGATTACGAAATCCAATAATCACACAATTTAAGGAAAATTCTGGAGCAATGGCTATATTTGCAGAAACGGGGTGCGCGATAGACTTACCTTCACGTGGTGCACCACGGACGACGTACCCATAGGACAAAAAGGCCTATAAACAGACAGTTGACTTCTGATTTAAATCTACCATGACCTCACTGTAGGTCATATTTCACCACTTCTACAGTACGTACCTTACCCTTTCTCGGCCTGTGAATCACCCTTTTGCTCACTCTACCTTGGCTTTTGTGATTTTGATGTTCCTCCCATCTGTGAAGCCCTAAGTCAACTAAAAGGGTTAATGATAGCTATCGTAAAGCCTGCCATTTGGTATAAGTATTTGTAGAAGTAAACGAACAGAATGATTCCAAGAACACAAAGAAGCTAAAATACTAAACTCACGACTAAAGATTCTATACTGAATGAACAGTGGATATAAGGGCTTATATTCGCAGTAGCTGAGCAACTTAACCCAAGGGTTTTTTCTCCATTTTGCGCCCATAATTGTCGGTAGGTGATTTCTGATCCAACAATCCCAATTCATTTAGAAAAGTTCAGTGCTTCAAGCACGCAAAAGAAAATACGCAGTAAATGCAAGAAATGAGTAAACACAAGGAACATAAATAAGTTAACTGGCCAACCCCAATGCGAAGGGTAATACTTTCAGAGAAAAATAACATGACAGCTACTATAAGAGTGGTACTGGAACACCTATCCATTCTAAGAAAATACAGCCTGTAAAGGAGGTGAGAGGACTTACACCTTGACCACAGTTGAGTATATTATTGTTCAGGCTGGCTAGCATCATGCGATTTGAAATGACCACTCCTTTTGGGACACCTGAGACAAGAAAAAGACAAATTCAATGGATGGAAATAATGGCTTCACATAAACCATGCGTATTTTAAATTTTCCCAGGTTTTTCCCTCAAGTTAGCGGTAGTAAAGTGAATAGAAAAATTTTGCTAATAGTATTGTAAACGAGAATAAAGTAAACTGTTCCTATTCCATAACTAATACGCATTCCATTTTAAAACCCGACGAACATCTATATACAGAAACACGCCATTGACAATCATAAAACATGATAGCAACACTTCGATTACTTTAGAAAGATGATTGTCATTACCCAGACACTATACTCGATAGTTTTACTTTAACCAGATTTCAGATTACGATAGCGCAAACGGATTAGACGTATTTTCTCAGCCATGCAGATACCTCATTTGTACTTTTCGTTTTCCAATAAAGGGGGGCTTCCGCCGTTTAGGAAAAAACGGAAAAACCGTTGAACACGGACGAAATGGGGTTGAAATGCATGCCAATCGATAAATTACTCACTGATATACAAATCTGTACTGCACACAATATTAAATTAGGATCTGTTTCTACCATCCTGTAAAACTTGGGAAAGGAAAATTCAGACTATTTGCCACCTAAAAGGAAGTAGTAAATAAAGACTTCTGTAAAATTTACTTTCTGTAATTTATGTTGCAATTTATTACATTTAATTTTATGCTCAAATGAAGTTGGGAGGAATTCAAACTAGTTTGGCTGCAGCAGATAATTCATCCGACAAGGAGAGAGCGAATAGTTCCCTCTTCTCCGCTGTAAACATATCGTTAAATTTCAGAGTAAATATGGATATCAAATGACACTTTATTTGTAATCAACGACAATATGAACAATAAAGATGTTCAGAGCTAATCAAGTCACCTAATGTTGCAGAAACAAAACCCCATTACCGTACAAAAAGGAGTTAAAATGAAGGAGTTTTGAATGTGAACAGATAGCCCATTGTTCCAAAGATCCTATTTGAGTTCTAATACCAGAAATACATTAACTGATTAGAGGTTTCAAATGAACAAATATAATTAGAAATATCACATTTTACAATTGAAATGGATGAAACGTTAATTATGCAATCAAACAACATTTACAAACATTGAAGTTCTTGTCATATAATTTCAATATTTAAAAAAACATCGAACAATGTCGTGTCAAACATAATCTGCAGTAGGAGATAACGCCCAGTCATAAATTTTAACAGACATGTTTTTTTAAACTGTGAAAACCTGTTAATCTCCAGGTCACAACGATGACGTAAAATATGAATTAAGACTAAGGCCGACAAGCTACTAAGAAATTAATAAGGTTAGGTAAAATATACTTACCTGTTGTTCCACTTGTATAACATACAAGGGCTAAGTCATCTGGTTCGGAGGGCTAAGATGAGAAAAAGGAAGTATTAAAAGTTAGTAAGCAATGGGTAGAGATTAGTTACCATAACTTCAAATTACTAATTATGCTATAACCATGGATGTTAAAATAAACCAGTCCAGATAACTCTCGCATAAATACGCAAATCCTAAGCAGATTTGATAGGCCTGTGTAAAGAAATAGTACAAAAAAACACGATTAACAAAATGGTTGGGATTATGCTATCATATTGAGCTAAGTGATTAGTAAGATAAATGTTCATGAAGTTCTTGAAATAAGGAAATTATATACTGCAAGATTGACACTAACCAAACCAAAGCGAGAAACCAGGCTCAGCTACTCTTAGATCAATTTTAGCAAGCTCTAAATGAATTATGACTAAATAGACGCTTACTAAATTCTCATTCAGCATCGATAATAATTGACCGGCAAAATTATATTTCATTTAATATCCATTGAAAGAAATTCACCACTTTACAAGAATAGCCAAAAATAGAGTTCTATTTCATGGACAGGCCATTTTTGATCTTGTATTTTATCGACTAGTTGATAGCCTTAATTTGTTTACCATGCATAGCCAAAAAGGAAAGTGGAGAACTTCCATTTCTAAAACTATAGATTAATCAGAAAATGATAAATAAATTAACGATTAACCCTGAATTTAGGCACCAGTTATAATCACATTTGGCAAAATTAATTGACCGACGAAATCATATAGTTCATCAAAGGGCATATGTTTATTTTAAATTTCCGTCAAAATAGATGATCTCCGCTTACCTCAATCATTCAAACTGACTCCAAAAAGTCGTGCGTAGAGATAATTTTAATGGAAACAAGCAATCATACTATTATTAATATCCAAATAGGGTACCAACCATTTGCAATTGCAGCTGATAAGTCAACTTTAGTAATTTTAATCAACATATCTCCAACGTTTATACTCCATACACTTAATTAACACCAAAGCAGCGTCTCACATTTATGGCAGATACGAAACGCTCCTAACAATAAGCACGCTATAACTAATGGGAGAGATGGACCAACGAAACTCGACAACAAGATTAGACTTCAATTGCAAAATATCACAACTATCACCTCGCCTACTAGGTAAAACCGAGACCAATTTGATGATTGAGTTACTTCCATATTTAAGTTGGAGGCCAGAGTAAAATAGGATCAAGGGGTAAATACGACACTCGCACCATGGCTGACACTAGCGTTCGGTGCGAGAGTATTTAAAACATCCCAAAGACGAAAGCAAATGTGCATTCGTCCATTGACGAGCGTGCGCGTTACGGATAGAGGAAAGCAGGCAGACAGTAGGATTGAAGACTAGTGACCTTGAGCCTCAACCAATAATGAGCCCAGCTAACTCTCTCAAATGCCCAATCAGAGGGTGGGAAGCAGTTAAAAGAGGCCTATTATGCTAGATGATATTACTTACCATGGTTTCAAGTGGCGAGGATTTTCCACGTTCCTAGAAAAAATGAACAGGAATGTTAGAGACAGAAAGAACTGTTTTACCAATTATGTTAGAAAATGTAATACCAGTATATCATTAAAGGTGACAATCTCAATATTGTCTCCAGCTTTTGTTTTTAGCTCAACTAAATCATCATCGTTGTTCATTATGACGATGTGTTTCACAAAGGGAACTTGCTCGGCAAGACTCAGTAGATGCATGGCTTTTTCTGAGGAATCACACACTAACACCGAGAGTTCGGCTAATTAAAAAAAAGACTAAATTAGAAAAGAGGAGTAGGCGGAGACGAAAACAAATCTGAAAACTCACTTTGTTTACAGATGTAGAGAATAGATTCATCACCCAGGGTGTCAAATAAGGGAACGACAGTCATACGATATGAAAAACACGCATACTGTGCGATGAGCCACTATAAGGTGGTAATTATTTGAAAATAAATAGCCCACAAAAGAAACTATTGAATATAAAATAAGAAATTAAAAACTTGCTTCTGGTCGGTTCTTTCCATAAATACCGCAGCACTTGAACGGTTCTGAAGTGAGTGAATCGATAGTACGGAGACCAGAGCCAAACTGTTTGACAAGTTCATAGACTTCCCTGAAGGATTTCCATACATAAGGTGAGGAAGGGGTCGGGTGTGTGCCAAGGAAATCACGGTCACCTTTAAGATCAAGTGAAACATTTAGAATTCAAATATGCCACAATAGAGAAGGACGAAAAAGTAGTCATACCTCCCAGAGTCATAGCTTCTTTAAAAAGATCATGTACACATTTTGAGCCGTTTCTGAGAATGTTGGGAAGAACAAGGTCCTTGTAAGAAGGGTTTACATGACTTCCATCCTAAAAAATGGGCTCATAATAATAAAAAATAAACAACGAGAATACGGCAGACAAAAATGAACTCACCTCCAGAGTGTAGGAATAATTCTGGATACTGGGTTTGTAAGAATTAACGTCATTTTTAGACATAGTGCTGCTAAAATTTGTGGCAAAATATGTTTAAAATCCCTTGGCTTATTTTTAACAGCACAGTCATTATTAAGAAACAATTTAACCGCACATACAAACAAAGACGATAGGCAAATTTGATATAAAATTAAAAAAAGCACAACGATGTGAAGAAAAACAAAAATAACTATGATATGCCCTTGCATAGAAATATGAAGCACAAAAAAACAATTTTAATAAAGGCCACTCGTAATAACAAAATCTACCCAACAGAGCAAAAAATATGAATCTGTCTGAGATAATACATGGAATTAAAAACAGATATGACACAAAATTTTTGACTCAAAATTACTATAGTTAGTTTATTGAAATTCAATTTTAAAATATTAAAATATGCTACTTAAGGGTGTGAAAAACCACGAAGAGCGCAAGCCTCTTATAAATACAAGCAAATAAATAACTGCGCAGGTGCGAACCAAACAATTGAATAAGGCGTAGGCCGCTCCACGATCCTATTAATAGAAACAAAGATTGAACGATTTAAAATTTTCAATTATAAACAAACTTCCTCATTTGATTCCAAAAAGATTTTTTATTAAATGAATATCATTTAATGTAAAATATATTGAACTATTTTGCTCTGTTTGTCATTTTATTCTATACTTTATATATTTTTGGATTTCGCTTTTGTCCTTTGCATATTTACACTCATATACCATAATTTTTTATGCAAAAGTTTTGAATAGATTAAGCTATCAAAATTAAACATAATTGTCCTCATGCTGTTTTGTTTCGTGGGCATGCATTAAGTATATATTGGAATCAAATGAAAATGAGCAATATCCAGACATTAATAAGGATTTGTCAATTTCATTGAGGAGAGTTCTTTCTATGTTCACCTAAAAATAATTTCTATATTATCAGAACTCAATTAATTTGTTAATAATAATGGCATATAGAGGAATCGAAATACTCTGCTACTAAATGCGAAAAACAATATGTAATATAGGCCTTAATCAACTGTCACGAGTAGTGGTGCGCAAGACAACACTGCTCCCAGACAAAGTAAAACCTGAAGAAAGAATATGGCATAAGCGATCTTTATCCCTACGTACTTCCAGGAGTCGATATTTTCCTCTTCTCTTCGAGTTGATCTCGTGAAAAGCATGGAAGGATCACCCAACCGACAAGCAGGCATGAAGCCTTTATAAAAATAGAATTTCATGAAACTAAGTATTGCATTAAAGATTCTGTATTTCTTCATTTTTTAGTTTCTTTTATTCAGACGAATTTCTTTGCACATTTGTTGCAAACAAAGACTAATATGAATTAAGTTATCGAGAAATATACGTGCGCCTTGTTACCATTGGATATTGTCTGCAACAAGGGTAACGGCTTAGTGAGCAAAAATATCCATTGCTAATGATATATATTCATGTAGGCTGCTATTTTGAACCGACTATTTTATCTTACTGAGCCAAGTAAAACATTAATGCGAATAGACAGAAGTATACGCAAATTCTTAAGTGTCTATCAAATGCAATTTAGAGTTTTATTTTTATTTACTGGTATAAATAGGAGAACTATTAGAATAAACAAGATAGGAAAGTGAAATTAATTTATCAGATGCTTAAACTTTTTCAGCAAACATATCGCTGCAACTTTAATCAGTAATAATCCGCAATTAGAACTTGTTGGGATCGAAACTTTATCATTGAAAAAGCAGAGAGCTCTTCATACCTAGAAACAAATGAGGTCATAATTTCCGAGATCTCAAGACCAAACGATGATCAAGGTCATTTCGTGGTCATCATTCCCGAAAGTGTATATTAATGCCTAAGCTCCTTGTCAATGAAATAACCTACAACAATCACAACCGATATACATCCTTAACAGAACAGCACCTGAGTAAATGTATTATACGTCATACATCTGTTTCCTCTATAGCTTTGCGTTAGCTTTTCTAATTCTGGGAGCCTTTCCAAACGAGGTGAACTTAATAGTGTAGAAATCCGCTACGAACTTTTCAAAAACATTCTCCTGAGAGAAATGAAACCAGCCAGCTCTTTGCTAATTCCAACGCTTCGCCGTAAGAGAGCATAAGGAATGAAAAAGCAAAGGTTCTGGCTGGTATGTATATTCTTTGGTCTTTGGTTCATATTTTTCTCACTTTCATTGTGCAATTTTGATTATAATAAACGTGGAACCGGAATGCTTGCAAAACTCCGAGATGATTGAGAAGCGTCATTAGAGGAGTTTTTTAAAAAAACGATCTCAACTCGAACTGCAATTTGCGGATATCGGATCCGATGAGCTACATAACTGAATATTCACCTCAATTTCAAATTAAGAATTACTTTTAAAATGAGATGGCAAGTAAGTACACTATTTCATCCTTTCACTAATTAAAATGACTATTTCGTCCAATCTCCACCTCGAAAAAGAATAGATATGGCGGAAAAAAGATAACAAAACTTTGCTAATAATAAAAACCGAATAGGATTGACAAAATACCAGGCCTTCAGAAATCTTCGTTACCATTTTTATGAGGTACAACTGGAAGGAAAAAATTGCATCTCCAGCTCAAACAACACATATGATTAAACAAGTAAATTAACTCTTGCATAAAGTGGGAGACGTCATATTTAGCCGATTCAACAAACGATAATGGAGAAGCGGAGCTAAGTAATCTACCTCATGCGTTCCGGAAATCGAGATCTCTGTTATTAGCATATAGAAATATTCGTGTTATTTTCATAAAAACAATATGCTCAGTTTACGTAAGCGATATGTAAAAACCTCATAATCTTGATTTACCCTATTGCATTATTCCCAGTTTTTGCTATTTTTAGCAATAACCCGACAAAACACAGAGCATACTATAACCTTTTGTAAGATTAATTATCAAAATAAATTGATTGAACACGCTATGAAAGGGTCTTTTTATGGGCTTAAAGGCGAGCAAGGTAATCATATCTCCATATAAGTCCATATTGATTAAAAGCTTCTACAATTAAATCGACATAAAATAAATTTTATGCCAAAAATTGTTTTTTTTTTGAAATAGTAGCATTTAATTGATATAACAGCTTCGGTAACAAGGTCTGCTTAACTTCTATTACATTCATATAAAGCTTTCGTCCTAGAGCGAAACTAATTTGACAGCAATGAAATTCGTCATTTTTTCCACTGAGCCAATCTTGCTTTCAAAAAGAAACTTCTAGGTTAATTGAAATGAAACTTATAGCAAGTCGTATTCCCGAATAAAGACAATGTTATGGTATTGATTTAGAGATTTGCTTAATTGAGTGAAAGTCCTTTTAATCAGCAATTTGAAGAGTTACCGAAAGGAGAATAGCTGACTCACATATTTTTCAGTGAGGAGGGGTGTGTGATAGACTTACCTCCACGTGGTGCATCCTGGGCAACGTATACTCATACGGCAAAAA